CCTCCCCCATATATATATATATATATATATATATATGCGTGTGTGTGAGTTTATGTGTTTCTGTGTATAAAAATTCTGATATAAATAACATATTTCTGTAAGAAGACAACATGAATAAAGAGAACAGAAAGCCATACAAAATATGCAATCACAAAAAAGATTCCATTACTAACAACAACAATGGCAATAAACTAGACCTATAATACTTATTCCCAAACATTTTATTTATTCAATCTTAAGAATATCAAAATACAGCTACATCAAAAACTATCATGAATATGATCAGAACCAAAATTACTATAACACTAATAATTCAGAATAAGGTATATATAAAATAAATCACGATGACTGCTCCTCACAATACATTGGGGCAACTTATAGAAATATAAAAAAAACGTATCTATGAACACAAAAGGGATCTTTTTTACAGCAAGAAGAATGCCACACTTATTAAAAGAGAAAGTATTAAAGTATTAAAAGAGATATCTGCATTCCTGAAAGAATTACTAACATACATGACTATAATAATTTTTAAAAGAGTAAAGAAAACGGTTAAATTCATAACGTCATGTTATTAAAATATATAACACATATATTAATCCTAAACTAAAATAATTTAAATAATACAGAAAATCTACCAACAAGAATGACCTGGTCAAACTTTATTTCCACCTCTGTAACAAGATCAAATCTGGAATAAATATAGGATTCTATTTAAGAGCACTAAGAATTTGCAGCCCCCAATACTTACCCAAAGAAGAAACATACTTAGAAAACACTCTAAAAAACCCTACTATTCTTATTATTTCATTTACAATGCCAAGAGAAAGTTATAGAAAATATACGACCGCAAAAAAGATAACATTATTAACAAGAATAATCATGACAACAAACATATAATACTGCCTATTAACTCCTACTATTCAAAACAATTTATCAAATCTTAACAATATCAAAATAATTACAACCACATCCAAAAATATCATGGATAGGATCAGAACCAAAAATATAGATAACAATAATGTTTCTGGATTAGGTCTGTATAAAATAAATTCTCACATCTGTTCCTTATAAATCAATAATGTCACCCCAAATTTCCAGGAATTGGTTCTATAAATGTAGGTAATTTCTACGAACTTATACTGCTTATTTTCTTTTCAGTATGAGAATGGAAACAAATCACTTTATATAGTATAAAAAAGATTTAAATCATTTTGATAATTTAGCAGAAATCATTTATTTATTAAGATATTTCCAGACTGAAATTCTGTTGTCATCATATCTCTGTTCAAAAGTGTTATGGGAACTTACCTATAACGATAATGGACTCTTCCTGACACTATAAATACTGCGCCTCTCAAGAGGTATAAGGAATGAATGGTGTAACGTGCACCAGGTCATGACTGTTGAACTCTCTGCTTTGGCAGAGAGGAACCCGGACGAAGCTTTGCCGAAGGGAAACTTTTCGTCCGGGGAGGTAGACAGGCCCTGAACCCGTCTAGGCGGGTTCAAAGGGTATATTTTGGCCGAGCCTACGGGCTCGGGAAAACCACGTCAAACTTGGCCTTGTGCCACATGCAACCCTCGTGGTGTGGTGGCTAGATACCGAATGAATGGTGTCACGAGTCGAGACAATATTAGTTCACTCTAAACCAGACGGGCAGTCATTACTAACACCTTCAACTTCTTGTACTATATTTCTGTTGGAATATATCTTTGTTATTCTACTCTTGTGTTCGTGTTGTTCTTCCTTGGTTCTAACCTTGGACCATAACTGCGGTGCAAGGATATTGGACCATAACAAAAAGTATGATGCTTTTTGACTCTAGTGTCATCAGCTGTGTTTTGTTTTTTTTAAACACATTCGAACTGAATAGCTGCAGACCCAAAGATCCAATGGGAGACCTATCAAATTCATGACGAGAAGATTTACCGAATTTTTAACTTTAAGACGATTTCTTTTGTAAGAGTAAATTGTGTTCATCACAGAAACACTTTTTCAACGCCCGCGAAACTTACAGCAGTGATATTAATTATATTTTTAGCGATTAGCTATCGGCTATTAATATATAAAGATTATATTCGTTAATCCAACGAACGGTTCACTAAGATTTTTAAATTTTAAGAACCGGCTCGCGCGAATCGTTCCGAGCTGGTAGGATTCCACCACTGCTTACAATACACTGGGGAAGATTACAGAAATATATTAAAAAAAAACTATGAAGGAATAAGGATATTGTAAATTTAACAAATACATTAGTCATACTTTCTTTTTGGTAAAATTCAGGTAGCATCCGAGACGAAAAAACATAATTCAAATCGAAATACGTTTTTTAAAATGTGCTATTGATAACAGATACAAAATTATGAAGCGTGCAGTTTTCATCTGCTATCAATAACACGTTTAAAATTATATTACATTTGCATTATATTTTTTCGTCTGGGATGCTACCTAAATTTTATCAAAAAGAAAATGGTTTCCATACCTGATGATGGCCGGAGCACCCGTCGAAAGTACTTGCATATTTAAGAAAGACATAATCCAGTGTATAATTTAATTTCTCTCTCTCTCTCTCTCTCTCTATCTATCTATCTATCTATCTATCTATATATATATATATATATATATATATATATATATATATATATATATAAATAAAACAGACCATTTTAAGGTTCCATGTAATAAATTATTTCACCCCAGGGCTGTGATGAAATAATTTATTACATGGAGTTTTTTAAAGTGGTCTGTTTTTATTTAAATTATTTGCTCTGGATTTACATTGAGCTCTCTGGATTTTATCCTCCTTGGGTCTACCCATACGGATTACCTAGTTTTCCATAAACTAACTATATATATATATATATATATATATATATATATATATATATATATATAAGTTACCGTTAGAAAAAACAAATAAAGATAATCAACCCAAATAAACACAAATTAAAAACTGTTCCTGCCAAAATAATAGTTAGAATAAACTACAACAATCAACCCCCAAACCGAACAAATAGCTTTAATTAAATTCTCAAACCAAAACACAACTATTAAATAAGTGATATAAACAAATTTTCCTACGTTAATAAAAAACACCGATTAAAAAATAAATAAATAAATAAAATAAGAAACAAAAAATAAAAATATTTATTTTTAAGCAAGGAAAATAATTTAACCCAAATAAATAAATAAACGACTTCCGGTAAAATAACCGCCATAATAGACTACCCACAAAGCACCACACTCGTATATATATAAATAGCCGAGAAAAATAACAGCACACGTGGCCTGACGATTGCATATAGCATGAAACTGACTGTCGCTTCTAAGTGTTGACTTCTCTGTTCACTTTTATATATATATATATATATATATGTATGTATATATATATATAGACCACAATGCACCACTGACCCGTATATATAAATAGAAAAACCCAATACATGTGGCCTGACGATTGCGACTAGCATGAAACAGCCTGTCGCCTATGAATGTTGAATTCAATGTTCATTTTTAAATTTGAACAGGCTCTATCTCTGATATTTATCACTTTATCCCATAAATATAGCACACCTTAAAACTATATTCCTTCATATATATATATATATATATATATATGTATGTATATACACACACACACGTGTGTGTTTTGTGTAGAAAGACAGCCGACCTTCTCTACACTAATGGTTAAACATAGACTCCTCTATTCGCTATGTAGGACAGCTGGTAATAGGATCAGGGGTCGCAAAGTGTGTCGTGATGTGTAGCGTTGAGTCGTACGCATTGCTGCACTGAACTACGGTATTGGCTTTTATTTTATTATCAGTCCATGGCCCTCATTCTTCACTATTCTTTTGTTCCAGAGTTTTCCTTACAATATTATTAACCAGAATAACAATAAATAACATTTACCGCCTGTCCTAACATTAAATTTATACATTTTAAAATATTTCATTTAAGAAGGATTTATCTTTTTATTTAATTCCTTGATAATTTCATTTAAGAAGGATTTATCTTTTTATTTAATTCCTTGAAGATGGAACAGAGCTTATTTTAACTCAATTTAATTTAAATAATCCTATTGAAGTTTTCGGCTCTTGTTTTGAAACATGAGACTTCTTATGTAGCGTTTTGGAATCATATTTTTAAATAAATAATTATATTTATGCTCTACTTTTGTATCGAGCACTATTTTTTAAAAATAATAACTAAAATACTAAGGGACTTTGGATTATTTACCTAACCAGTTCCTTCCTATTTTCTATATATTTTCACATATTATATATATATATATATATATATATATATATATATATATACACACACACATATGTATATATGTGCGTGTGTATGCTTATATACCGAGTTTAACTGCAAAATTGTCCAAATAGTGTAACACCATGGGGTAATTGTCTATCTTACAAAATGTTCAATATCTAAAACCATTAAACTAACCCAGTTTCTTTTTCATAGGTTTCAAATATCAATGTAAAATCCTTTGAGTTATTCAGCTCGAAAGAGCACAGTTTAAAAGCATGTCAGCGCAACTATGCCTCCCCAACTGAGTAATTATGGTACCAAAAATATCATTCAAGCCTTTAGTAATGGTACCAACATCCATACTCTGGCTTCCCTCTTCAAAGTCCATTGAAGAACAATCAAGAGAACGCTGAATAAATTTAAAAAAAGAGGAAAGAGTAGAAAAGAAAGCTGAATCAGGAGGTCACAACAGCAAGACGGATCATAATTTCAACTTCGAGCTAAATACATTCTTATTGCTGAAAGTAGAGTCCAATAGTGTTACAAAAACCTAAGAGAATTTCAGTAAGATATCTTTAATCATTTCTGGGATACAACAGTCCAAAGCTTAATCTAGCAATTGGACAATTTTGCTGTTACACGCTTTAGACAATTTCGCTGACATCCTGTATATATATATATATCGTTACGAACCCCGATGTAAATTTATTATAAACACTATACCATTGCTTATATTTTAGAAGCATTCTAAAATAAAGAGCCCAGTACTTGCAGAAAATGTAAAGATAGTAAACCCAAAGAGATAGGTAGACTTAGTGGCGACAAGGATTGACCAGAGTGTACCCTTTCCTTCTCTTTTGGTCAAGGTGTTAACAGGATGATTTACACGGATATATTCCGGTTGGGAGGAGTTGAAACACTTTAAACTAAACTTTCTCTGACCCTGAAGATGAGAGAGAGGGTCGATGACCTCATTCCACCCATAATGGGAAAAAGTTAGTATTTTGAAAATTGACCACGTGACAAGAAGAAAAAGGAAACGAATAGTGAAACGGAAATTTAGTCTTGTCCTAGGCCTGTGGACCGGTAGGACGTCTGGCGAATGTCTCGGCATATGGGCCGAAAAGATGTGTTCGCGAAATTGCGAGAAGAATTGGTCTCCGGGTGGAATGGATGGACCCGTTTGACGACGCATGCGGAACGCCGCTCTATCGAGGAGAAAGAAAGCAGTTTCAACTGTCACCAAGCCCTTAAACAAAGCACGAGAGGGAAAAGAAAGAAAGAAAAAAAAGAAAGAACAGACCATCTCGAGCGAGAATGCTGTTATACCAAGACGAAAGAGAGAGGGAACGAATTTTTGCTTAATCGTCAGCCAAGTCCCTAGACGACGAAAAGAGAAAGAGAGGAAGTAACAAAAGATCTCAAAAGGATACCCTTATAAAAAGAAATAGAAAAGGAAAAAGAAAAAGAAAAGAAGTAGATAAGAGACATTATTAGTGAAAAAGGACTTTATTCCGAGTTAAGTTTGTTGTTTTTATTGTGCTCCGTTTTGTGTTAAATGTACCTCATTTTTATGTTTGTACTTTCATGCAAATTTAGCATGAGATCTTTTTATTACATGTTTCTTTCCACTTGTCTTAAAATTTTGATGTTTTGTGCAGGTATAGCACATGTTCTGTAAATTCGTGGGAGTATGGCACAAGGCGATACGTTGATTTTTTATTTTACCTTTCTTAGAGGATACTCTCCTCCCACTGTTTTGTCCACAATGTTTAAAGGTTTATTCTTGACTTATCGTCATTTTTGTTTTGGCCGTTTTTTTTATTTTTATCTTTTCCACAATTCCATGTTTGTTAATAAATTTATATTTCCTGTCTCCATTGTTGTTTGTCGCCTATCGTGTTTGTTCTTTAATCGATTCCGCCCAGCTGTATCTGATCAATCAGAAAGAGACCCTTGGGAAAGAAATATATTTTACAAAAAAATGTAAAATGTTAAAAAACAAAATAACACAGATTACGATCCTCAGATACCTTCGCTATCGATAAGGTTCGAGAAAGGAGAGGTGGGGGTTCGTAAGAAATAGTGCTCTCGTCCGGGATTTTTCTTTCCTTTTAAACCGAATTTGATCATTCACCCAACTGAACGTAATTTGGAACACCGATGGTCGATGGACGGACATGGAAGATATAATATATATATATATATATATATATATATATATATATATAAATTTAAAATCAAACTCAGCGTTGCTATTGCACGCTCCAAAAACAATAACTCATTTCCAATAGCATTTTCGGATACAACAATACATATATTTTCGTTGTCCTCTTATTACTAAGAGAAAAAACAAGAACAACATCTATTCCATACCTGAAGATGTCTGTAGAAACAGACGAAAGCTTGTAGTAAAAATAAGAACTAATGCGGCAGAAATTTATAGAAACAAGGATCTTTTCATTCATAACGGATTCGGAGGTTTTGTATATTATTTAAATTGTTTGCGACGATGGATTTCTCGCCAATTAAATCATTAACCTTTGCATTTGTTTTTGTGTGAATAATTCATATATATATATATATATATATATATATATATATATATATATATATATATATATAGCATATCTCCATGTAGAAAGATTGCTGAGATTAAGGAAAAGATACTTGTTAACTTGTTAGCAAAATCATAGGCCTTTCCGAGACAGTTATGAGATGGGATCATAGTCTCGAAAATAGGGACGGAGTGGAAATTGATTCCCTGGATATGTCCTAGACATTGCTAAACTTCAATAGGAATAAGCTAGTTATTTCCTCCAAAGACCTTATAGTTGAACAAAGAAAGATATCTCAGGGAGTAGGGAGTCTCTTGATACAGAGTAGAGATTAGGTCCCAAAATAAATACCTTATTTTTGATAGCCCTGTTATACCCCATTATCGCATGTAGGTAGCGATTTGAGAAAGTGGCTAAGTGCTTGATTCAGTCAAATAATAAATTCATCAAATATTTCATGCCTCGCAGTAAATTTGTTGCAGCCCTAAAGTCTTTCGATTACCATCCTTACTTTCATAGGTTTCATGTCAGTAACAAAAGATGTTAAAAAAAAAATCTGTCGATAATATTCTCATATTGGTGCCGCCAAAAGGCAGTGAAGAAGCCTAACGAAAAGGCAGAGAAAGCAGAAAAGGCAACGGACACACTATGCTGCACGTGGTGACCTCCCAGGGAGTGTTGACAAGAAATCATTATGCGATCCGTGGAAGTATGTTGTTATCCATGGACTATCGATTTTGCTATGTCGTTGATAATTATGTTTGTTGATGAAGAATAAATAATTGAAAGAATAAATTCTACTAAGTAAATCAGTGGGCCTTGCCTGAATGTTGAATATTCTGTGAAAAGTTCTAATTAGAAAATATAGTCGGCAGCCGAAGGAAAATAAGTATGGCCTGGTGGATGGAGGAAGGGATGATCGTAAGTTAAATCCCTGTGTCGGATGTCAAAGTAAGATCATAATGAACAGTATTTACATTAGTCGGACTATTGTCCTCATCTTTGTCGCCATATTTGTCACAACGTTTCGGCCGTTGTACGCTCCGGCCTTCTTCAGGTGGTTGGAATTTCGAACTGAACCCTTTATTTCGATCACTGGGGTAGACTATTCTAGTTCCACGTGCCATGTTTTTAATGGATGCCAGTTATCAGTTATCTCCTGTTAATTCCTCTCTCCAAGTTCACCACTGCCTTAACCGGGTATTGAACTCACACACTTTGGGTCCTGTCATTGGATCTAACTAACGCCTTTATCCACTGTGCCACGTGTCCTCAATACATTGAATACATTGCACATGGATGTGCAGCACTGGAAAGAAATGGCTTTAAATCGTACATAGCTGAGGTACTTTAAAATGGAGGCATGCAACGCCTTTGATGATGAATGTCGAACTGAACACTTTATTTCGCTCACTGGGGTAGACTGTTCTAGTTCAACGTGCCATATTTAATAGATGTCAGTTATCAGTTATCTCCTGTTAATTCCCCTCTCCAAGGGTTCAGTTCGACATTCCAACCACCTGAAGAAAGCCGGAGCGTACAACGGCCGAAATTTTCTAATAAATATGGCGACAAAGATGAGGACAATAGTCCGACTAATGTAAATACTGTACATAATACCTCATCTCAGAAATATAGACAGACTCTGAAGATCATGATGAATTTTGAAATTCTGTAGAGACGCTACTACTAAGGGAATAGGGACTGCATCGTCCTTCAATATAAAGTGGTCGACTTGAAATTAAATGCGATGTGATAGCGGGCAGTGAAATACAAAAAATAAAATAAAATTAAACCATTTGTTAAAAGGTAATATTTTCTTTTGGAAGAATTTCGTAATGTATTTTTGGAAAAAAAAATGTCTGGATGCTTGACTGAATTCTATGTTCGATTTGAAATAATAAATTTTGATATTGGTATTCCCTCTATTCATATAAATTAAAGTATGAGGGCAGGAGATAAGTTCTATATGCTAACATTTATGAGAAGCATTACTGCACATTGTTCTCCTTTCTTTTTGTATCAATATGATGTCTTAATTGAGAAAATTGGCCATTGTCAAGATGAATGATTTTAATTGTTAGAAAAATGCACGGATATCTCCATAGCCTTTTTCTTTTTTTGGTGAGGAGGTGTTACGAACCCCGATCTAAATTTATTATAAAAACTATACCATTGCTTATATTTTAGAAGCATTCTAAAATAAAGGGCCCAGTACTTGCCTTAGGGATTAGCTCGCCACACTAGTAGACGGATAAGAGTGGCCAGTGTTTACGTATATTAATACAAGAAAGGACAAGAAGAAATCCTTTTTATGCCAACGCGTTTCATTCCTTGGGGAACTTTATCAATGCAAGTACAGTAATTTTTATTTTGTAACCTGTATTTATACAATGAAATCATCATCATCATATTCACCATCATCATCAGAGCTGTTTTAACTTAAAGGTACACGGCAAATTAGTGTGAATTCTCGTGTTCAACAACTTGGAAAATATCTCTTATCAGTCCTGGACAAACATCCCCGATGGTACACGATTGATGTCGAAATCATTTCTATTCCTGGGTATGACGATAACCTATATCCGGCAGCAAGGCCTCTGATTTGGAGAGTGGGGGGGGTGAGGAATGTAGAACCACCTCTTAATTGCTGTTGTTCCCAGGTCCACCCTTACCTGGTGTGGTAGCACCTGTTAGGGTCCAAGCTAGGGGCAAATTGTGAACCCCCAAACAAAAACAAATCCATGTGAAATTATAAAAATACACTTTTATAGTTAAAATAGTAGAGATACATTTATATATATAAAAAAAAAAATACCAGCAATATATATTGTAGTAATCTTTCCTAATTTCAGGTTGTTTAATATTTTATTTGTCTTGGTATTAAATTTTTCAATAGTTGCCAAAGCCGTTGTACCATGTTATATATTTTATTATATATTTCATTTCGCGCATGCGCGTTTGTTTTTTGTTTGTTTGTTTTTTTTTTATTCCGTCAACTGCACAGTATAGTACGTTCAGTTGGACACCATCTGTGAGAGAAAAAGGACCATGATGCAATTCACTTCTCCTGAAATTAGGAAATGCCATGTTGTGCTGCTTGGTATTCACGCTGAAAGCTCCAATACGATCATTTTCAGAGTTTTGGCGGTCAATCTGGGGAGAGTGCAGAGGATTCTGAAAGAGTTGGCTGAGTTTAATGGTGATTACGAAGGTACGGCAGCTTGGAAAACTCACTCTGATCGTTCTGATAAGAAAATACCTCCCAAATTTGTTGGTGAGGGCCTCAGATTTAACACGGAGGCCTACAACAAGTGCCTTGGGGAGGTAGTGCTGTCCTCGGTAAACAGACACTATGTCTGGCAATAGGACTCTGCAGCATGCCGCACAAGTAAGAAAACCGTGTTATAGTTGTCAGACAATTTCTGTGACCGCATCATCCCTTATATCTGCCTAACTAGCTCTTCAGACTGCAACCCCCTTGATTATTATGTGTGGGACACAGTTGAGCAAGAGACCAACAAAATTCCTTGTAACATCAAAGATGAACGGAAGGCAAGGATCATAGCAGCATTCGCCAACTTAAACAAGGAGACTGTCCAGAAGAGTTGCAGGAGATTCCGAAGTCATCTGGAGGACGTGGTTGAAGCCAATGGCGATTTTATAGAATAAATTAACTCTTTAGTATTTTAAGATATTTTTGTGTAAGTTTGGTGAATACAAATGTTAAAATGAAATGTCTGTTATTTTCATTTTTGTGTAATCTTTTGTGTAGATAATTTATATGTAAATGTAGGTAGTAAAAAGCAAATGTTGATAAGATAGAGAGAATTATAAAGCACTGCCCGGGGCCCCCAATCAGGCTTGTCTCTCGCGGTCAGGTGGTTCGGGGGTAGTACGCATCGGCCATGACACAGAGACATGTGAGTAGAGGAAGAAGAACTCGAAACGTTTCTTCCTTTTCACCTTTTCTCCTTTCAATCCACATAAATCTAAGTTGATTTTAAAATGATTTACAGGAATGAGAAGTATCAGTCACTAGCAGTAGAGCCTCGCGTTGCCCGGGGATGTAACAGTAAGAGATAGATCAAGTATCGACCATCATAAAGACTGAAAAATAAAATTGACAAAGATTATTGTTTAAGGTTGACGGACACGCATGTCTTAATTAGTTTTTTTTTTGTTTGTTTTTTCTTTTCTTTTTTTGGTCAAACCCAAACAAAAACATTGTTTTCAATCGCTATGAGTCTACCGATTGAATAGAATTTTATTATAAACAATTGTCTTGTAAATGGAATTTTTAAAGCAATCTGAATGTAAAAATAAAGAAAAAAAGTGTGCAAGACAATAAGAAACACGACCTGCCAAAAAAAGTAAAGTTTTGTTGAAATCAGTTGAAAAATGTAGGAAATCCGATCCCATATATAAACGAACACACACACACACACACACACACAAACAACCTGGGTTTTATAATAAGTATAACTCGATATGAGTTGTCCCCCTTTCATTCTCGCGATTCCTCTTAATCGTGTTTTCAAATTGATTTCGTGCAAAAACAATTGTGTTTTTCCA